AGTGACATCTCCTCCTTCCAAGGACTGAATCTCCTACCTGCTTTTGGTCTCTCTTAGTGCCTTCAAATTGTTTTTCTGATTTTTTTCCCAGATTTATCATTGTGACTTGCAGGTGGCTCAGTCCATAAAAACCACTCTGCCGTTACTGGAACTAGAATGGCAGCCGTTCTTTCTTATAACTATTTATTATAAAAATGTTCACACATTCTGAAAAATAGAAGGAATGCTGTTGTGAACACCAGTACTCCTGTCACCTGCTGTCTGGGCTCCAAAATCTTGGGATGCCGTTGCTTTCAGGCCCTTGCAGTCAGCAGGAAATACATTTGAAAAATCACGAGTTCTTACTAATCATTTCAATTCAAATTTAACTTCTCATTTGATGCTTGTATCTCTTCTCCAATGATGAAAAAGATTGACTAGAAGAGATAACAAGATTCAGTGAGAGAAGTCAGGCTTTCAGCCCCCTCCCTCCTACCCCATTCCTGGCTCCTCCTGTAGGGAGGAGTCGTTCCGGTTTATCTGCCATCATTTCTTTCTGTTAACGGGAACGGAATGTATGTATATTCATATTTCCTTCTCTTTCTTACGGAAGACAAATACTGAAAACGCTGCTCTGAATCGTGCGTTCGTATTAAATTACAGGTGTTTCCAAAATACGGGAGATCAAGGGCGTTGATTTCTGTTTGCTTTCTGAGTCACAGCACGTAATTTTAAGTCACTTACATATTATTGGTTACGTATTTTAGAATTTTGTCCTTGCGTCTTTTTATCTTTTTTCTAGCTTTACTGAAGTACAGTTGACACATAACGTAAGTTTAAGGGGTACAACCTGATGATTTGATACACATTTGTGCTGAGGGTCTTTTATCCTCGGTCTGACCATTTAAGACAGAAATACTCATCAAAAACTTGTTAGATTATTAAATTAGGAACCGTTATCATGACTCTAAGGTTTATTATCTTATGGTTCTACTTTTAAATCATGCATTGTTTTGTGTTTCTAAAATTTTACAGATTGAAGATCCAGGTTGCTTCTGGGTTGTTATAAAAGGGTGCAGTCCCTTTTTAGATCATGAAGTTGACTATCAAAAACTCAGTCGTGCCATGAATGACTTCTATAGCAGTATGTGTCAAGATATAGAAATAAAACCATTAACGTTGGAAGAAGGACAGGTATGTATCTAAATGTGTTTGAAATACCATTTAAAAACCATTCAAAATGTAGAATATTTTGTCAACTAAGACGATAACTTTTCGAGTATTTTAATTGCTTATAATCATTGCATTATGTAGGTTCTTTCGGTTGCCCAAGAGTTGGGCTGGTCATGGAAAGTGGCAGCTGTGTAACAGGAGGTGGAATGTCATCTGAAGTCAGGCATTGGGGCCATCCTTCTGGGGCTGGGCACCAGAGGATTACTGTAAATTCATCACGGTGTAGGGGCCTTAGCACAGTGAGTGTGGGGGTTTCCAGTCTAGGGCCAGTGCGTCCCTTTCAGTTGCCCATGACTTTGGCCAACTTGTGCTGCTTTATTTTCCTCCCTCTGCATCGTGGTCCCTCCTTTCCTGCAGCCTCAGCTCCATGCTCAGTGTCTGCTTCTCTCTGCAGGTCAGTCATTTCTTGGAAGAGTGAATTTTTATAATAGCATGATAGGAGATTTATCAACTCTTTATGAGAAATATTAGAAATAATTTGAATTCCTCACCCAAATAGTCATTAATAATACTATTTTTTTCCATGCCATTGACTTGTTGAAACCAGTAGGTCAGTTGTCCCTTTACAATATTCTACCTTTTGGGTAGCCTGACTGCTTCCTTGTGGTGGTGGTGGTGAACTTTTCCCTGTGTCCCCTGTATTTCCTGTGGACTGATAACTATAAAGCTTCTATTTGATTCAGGGTCACTTTTTCCCCCCAAGAATGATTGGAGCTGTGAGGCTCACCCGGTATTGAATTGGAGAGTGTGTCACCTTTGGTGACACTGAGATTGCTGGTGGGGGGCAGGTGGTGGCAGCCAAGCCCTCCCTCGCAGCGCCCGTCAGCTTTTCATGTTAACACTTGTGCCATCCAGTGACACCGCTGCCCAGATCGGTTCTCCCGTTTAAAAGCTGGCAAATGGTCATCTTCGCATTCTCTCTGCATCCACGAGCTGGAATTCTCCTTAGAGAACCCTCCCTCATCTGTTGGGTGGTTTGGCTGCTGGAAATAACACTTTCATCCTGGAAGGGTAGAAGGATTGCCTCACCCTTTCCCTTGTCAAGTTTCAGCATGGTGCTTTCTGCCTCATTGTCTGCATCGGAGTCCAGAGATTTGTTTTATTTCTCCCTCTTTCTTGTCATTTTTAAGTTCTATATTGAATTCCTGGC